GGCATTCAACTCCGAGACGGCATGCTGGAATCCAGACCTGCAAGAGATCACACTGGCAAACAAACATGAAGTCAGAGCCTGGATCAGACAACTGCAGTCATGTGGTAGTACGGATATGATGTCAGCTCTGCAGGTAAGCGTATACATTAAAACCTGGTTTAAAGCGACCACCCCATAGTACAAGGAAAAGCGGTCGTTAAAGCCAGGTTGTCTTTAGAACCAGGTCCCACAGTGGCTGTTTAGAACTGTCGGTCCATGGAAAGTTGAGAGTTTACCAGAGTTTACTGTACAGTGAAGCCTGGCTATAACCTGTCTAAGGCAACCACTGGAGGGACGAGAAAAAGTGGTCACCTTGGCCAGGTGGTCTTCTTCTCCAGGTTCAGTGGGTCAAGTGGCTACATATTTACTCACAGTATCCAGTATGCGACATTATCAGTTTGAACAGTGTACCACACTGGGCACACCTGTCGGTATGCATGACTCATGTGCCTAGCTGTACTGGAGGCCTCAGACCTGTCAAGGGTTGTGCATGCACTATGTGTATCTACATTTCATGCGCTGATGTGTAGATTTACAATGCATGGTTCACAGTGCAATGCGTACATGTATATCAGGGAGTCATAAAAAATGGTATTTGACGACTCCCGGATGACTGATGTATATGCAGCAGTGTGCAACTCGGTCGTGGGTGAGTGGTCGTCGGTTGCGTTGAGCGAGTAGTTGCCTTATCTGAGCTGTGTTGCATGTGAATGCTTCCATGACAAGGAAAAGAGGAGCTGGTGAAAGGCATAGGTTTCTATAATATGTACCCTGCGATACTAATTCCTACACATGTGCGTGTATGTGTGTGTGTATCTGTGTGTACATGTGCGTGTGCATGCGTGAGCGCATGTGTGTGTGTGTGTGTGTGTGTGTGTGTGTGTGTGTGTGTGTGTGTGTGTGTGCGTGTGTTGTGTGTGTGTATGTATGCGTGATTGTGTGTATGTGCATGTGTGTATGTGCGTGTGTACGTGTGCATGTGTGTGTATGTGTTTGTCACCCTATTTCTCAGTGCCTGGGACAAGTGCAGGATATTCAAGCTGTGTATGTGCTCACGGACGGCCTTCCAGTATGTTCTAGGCTTGTTGGCGTAGCAACTCAGTCACTTCATTGCTAGCTTAAAAAGCAAAAAAAAACAATACACTGATTGTAGACACTGAGTAGCCAAATATTTTTGATTATTGCGCCAGCAGCGGGTATGGACCTTATGTGATTACTTCGTTGTTAGAGTTGCCTTGGCAAAGCCGCGGACAAGTGATGCACTAGCTCAAGCAACATCATGGAAACTATCGATTCACGCTGTATTGTTAGAGCACATGATTGTTTGTGCCAACTCACACTGTATGCATACGGCCCATAAGCTGTTCTGCTGTCTCATCATTATGCATTTACATCTTCCAGGGGATGAATTTCGGGTTGTTGTGGTCGGGTCGCAGCGCCGCGGACTATTCCATCGTCTTCAGCGTCGAAAAACTTCTGGCCCGGTGAAATTGAAAGGCGGTGAGACGCTTTCGTCTTCCTCTATGAGCGAATTTGTTTTGCGCCAGCATACCAAAGTATGCAATATCGGCCACGCAGTTCGAGTGACGAGCCATGTTCACTGCACACTGCACTGCATACACTGACTGTGCAGTCGTCTTGAAATTTTCTCGATTCTCCCATCATGCCAATTCATTTCTGTTTCCAGCGAAAGTCGAAAATGGTGCCATTCAAATTACTTTAAATCAAGGTATGAAATGAGGAATAGTATACTTGAATGATCGTCGCCTGAAACAATGTAGGTATTTGATGTCCAAGTGCATTACCCATGGTTCTATGTTCACCCAACCCCTATGTGTGTGATTCTCGCTGCTGTACAGGATCAGAGTGTGGAAGCCGTGCTCGAGCGGGTTAAAAATATCCATGAAGTACGAAGATTTCCGTTTCACTCTGTTTCCTTTCTGTCAGCTCCACGGTACGGAAAACCCCCAGATGATGTAATCATTAATTTTTAAAACGCATGAATGCACATCCTGGAGGAATGGGATTTGCAAATAGTGTTCAGAACACAGTGTTTTTGTTTGTCATGGGTGTATTCTTTGTCTTGTGCATCACTTCGGAACAACTCTGTACTCGTAAAACTGTGACAACATCTTAGTTTGAAAGGAGGTAACTAGTACGCAAAGACTCAGCCATTCGAAATTATCTATCTCACTTCTAGAGCCCAGTGTGTTGCTGTGGAGTATCAAAGAGGAAATCCGATTTGCCTGGTTGTTTTTTATTACTCCTAGAATTAAAGCTGATTTGATCAGTTGTCTGAGGATTGCCACCTGCCATAAAAGTACTAGCTACAACTGTCTAGACGTGTGTGGTGCCTTGTCACTCATGCAATACTCAGAGACAGTGTACTGTCTTATATCAACCATCTTTGTATCCTCCCCTATGTCCCTGGTGATGCCCTCCTGGGTGAAAATTAGGAAACATTCGCTGTACGTAGTGTAGCCAATGACTGTTCATGTCTTACATATTGGAGGTGAAGTGGAAACAAAAACAGTGATGTTCAATGAAATGCGACCAAGCCGGGTGCTGCGCAGCCCCAGAGGTGCAAACATTGGGAAGGTGAACTGGTGCACGGTACATTGAACTTGAGTAACTAGATCGGATTTCATTGAGCGGCACTGTGGGTCTGCCCCTGTGAGCATTACGCACTGTATCGGGGAGTGAGAATCCCTCACCTCGTAGGTTTGAAGTTGACTCAATTCTCACATGGAAGTAACAGAGTCTTGACATGAGATCAACAGTCAAAAGGAAATAAGCGCATTTTGAGTGACTGCGTCTTTGTTCAGCGTCTTCTATTTTCAATTTACATTGGTTGCTGGCTGTGGGATTATCTTTCAATGCAATACAGACCCGTAGACAGTTTCCTGAAGAAGATGTCGTCATCGACTGGTGGACACCATCACAAGTGCGTCACGGAGGCATGTGCCGACGCGGTGATCATGCAGTTGTGTGCGCTGCAGCACAACCAACCTCTGCCATCCCTCTGTGCTGCGGACACTGAGCCCGATAGCTCGCAAAACCAAGCAACAGATGATAGTGCTGGTAATGCACTACCGCCAGTCGCAGAGCAAGCCGTAGGCGGCCTGGTTGAGAAATTATCCTTGGCCGCCTCCGGGCCGAAGCCATCACGCTCCGGTATTGTTCAAGGTAGCCGGAGAGCCTGGCTAGGCTCGATGCAGCGTGAAGGATCACACCAGGAGCACGTGGGAAGGATTACCTGCAAACTGTTGGTACGTCAAGTTTGTCTTACAAGAACAGCGATTATGCAGGAGTGTGATGTGGTACAAAATCTATAAACTTTGGAATATTTCTTTTGCCTCGGCTTCATATAACTGGCGTGCCTGTTGACGTATAGTAGTTGGTCGCATGTCTTTCTGCAGCAGTAGCTGTTCTTCTGCTACATTGTGTGTGAGTCGATCGGTTAGTTAGGAGGGAACTCGCATCCTGGCATGAGTATAACATGGATGCAGCGAATGGAATTTTTGGTATTTGACCCCTTTGCAGTGGTTTTTATCTACTCACGTTCCACCATTTTAGTTGCTGCATCTGCGAGTAATGAAAACTCAATGTGACCTGGAGTCACGCGAGCCGTGAATTCATATATTCCTCACACATGCGCGGCATGTGTCTTGTAGCCGATATGCACAACCGTGGATAATGCTCGTTTGGGCATGCTTTGCCATGCTCTCCGTCTGCCGGATGATGCACCTGTGGGGCGAGCGATGCGTGGACACTTCACCATTGGCCAACGCCGAAGGTTGTCACACTGCCGGATGTCCTTTACAGTGACGTGTCGCACAGAAATGCGCCAGGCTTTTCCACTCAGTACCACCAGAACGAGCTCTACGTGATGGCCCAGGATCGAGCAGCTTGGAGAGGCTTTACTCACTCGGCATGGCGAGCGTGCTGGTGCGGGCGATTTCTGGCCAAGCAACACCAGCGGAGCCATGTGTTACACACTATTGTTATACTTATTGTGTCCTTACATACTGTACACGATGTGCCACATAAATATTTTTGTTTTTATTAATAATTGTATTTCTCGCCGGCCGAGCGCGGCGAGATAGGCCAGAAATGATTTCTCGCGAAATATTTTCTGTTGCAAATATGGCATCTGGTGTGTTCTTTATTGTCGATTCTTTTCCTGACTACTTCAGTCAGTTTTGAGTCTCACCCTTAATTTCTGTGCATATTATCATTGCTTTTTTATCACTGCTTTTTAATCACTTTTTGCCGTGATGTGCTTGCCATGCCTACATGATGCCTACTCGCCTTTGGGGATATACACCCGGTTTTTTCCCTCACAACTGCGTCCGTCGGCGCTTGGGTTTTTTCCCGGCTGGCTCGGTCCAGAATTATTAATCTGACGGTCCCAAGTGGTTCTGCATCATGGCCTATTTCTGCTATCCACCGGCATGCCTATTCTATCTGAGACACTGTGTTCTCAGTCCTTGCTTCCATACCTCACTCATTATCCGAGTCACATCTGGCTGCGGCCAACTACCCTTCACTTTGTGTATTGTCGCTATTGTTGTCTATGTCTCTGGGTGTGCCAGTACATGTGGAGCGAGAATGTTGTGTCTCTTGTACCGAATACAATGAATTGTTTGCTGCAGCTTTAAGCATCACATCATTTGACTTGAAGAGTAATTGGTTGTAATGTCTAGTCGAAACCATGTAATTATGTCTTCTGTGCTTCTGTGCTTCGTGTAATAATAATAATAGAGTAGCGATCCTCCAACCATCAATCCATGTGTCTTGTTCGTGCAGAGATTGATGCTCAAAGAGCTGCATGGTGACCAGTTGCGTCCGCTGTGCACGGAGCTGCTAACGGCCAACAAGAATCACAACATGGCGTACAAGTACAGGTCAGTACCATTGTCACTGTGAAACAAGTACAATCATGTACCACCATGTGTAATCCTTGGATGGCTGTTGGTTTGCGTCTTGGAGAAGTGGTTGAGCTAGGTGTCTCGTCGTTGAATGTCTCAGTGCTCATTGTCAGTTTGTACCATTGTGTCCCGATCACTGACTGTATATGATCTGGTTACGTTGGTGGACAGTTAGTCATAACTCTTATAACATTCTGTACTTCTCCTTTTTTATAACAATTAAAAAAGATACTAACTAAATTTTATGTTATCCCTAGCATCGGTATCCACGTAAGGTCTGCACACAACCTGCGCAGTCAAACTGCACGACTGGGTCATATCTGGATGAAAGTCGCTGTCAGGTACACTCGTATTTTACACGGGCAGTCGGAGACCGCTCACTGCCCATTATTCTGAATCACGCACACATTTATGGGAAGTGTTAGAGATCTGACGCATCACGTCACTATTTCCGCAAACAAATGGCAACAGAGTAGTAATATTTCCACTAAAGCTCACCGAGAGTGTGCCCGGTGCCTTAAATTTTGAGGTCCGGATAGGAGAGTTACATTTAATAGTGTATCAAGGACTGGATCTATTTGGGTCAAGACCTTTTGCCAGAGGGTTGATCTTTCTCGCGTATTTTAATGGGGAAGTTAAGGCAAAAATTAAAATTTCACCAGTTGTAGTCTTCGGGGTGCTGAGTCGAATGGTTTTGGTCCGAGAAAGCTGAGACGCTCCCTTCCTACTTGAATCCCAATCGAACTCGCGCACTTCCACCGAAACTGGGTGACTGCGCCCTACTAGATGGGGATTTGTATGCAAAATGTCAATAAAAGCGCCATTTCGTTCTTATAAAAGCACGGATGACCGCGATTGGCCCATATGTTGTAGTCTTTTGGACGCCGAGTCGACTGGTTTTGGTCCGAAAAGGCTGCGATGCAGCGTTCCTCCTTTATTCCCAATCGAACATGGTTGAACAAGCGGTCACGTGCTCTTGGGTGCCCAAATCACCTGGCCTGGTCACCACGCCAGCAGGCGACAACTCTGTTACTTTCACACCAAGGTTCAACTCGAGTGACAGGACTGCACCCAAAAAAGGTCAAACAGGCTAGTAAGTTGTACCCTGCAGGCACGGTGACCAGTTGACTGGCGTACGCAGCAGCACGTGACCGCATGTTCAACCATGTTCGATTGGGAATAAAGGAGGAACGCTGCATCGCAGCCTTTTCGGACCAAAACCAGCCGACTCAGCGTCCAAAAGACTACAACATATGGGCCAATCGCGGTCATCCGTGCTTTTATAAGAACGAAATGGCGCTTTTAGTGACATTTTGCATACAAATCCCCATCTAGTAGGGCGCAGTCACCCAGTTTCGGTGGAAGTGCGCGAGTTCGATTGATATTCAAGTAGGAAGGGAGCGTCTCAGCTTCCTAGGACCACGACCATTCGACTCAGCACCCCGAAGACTACAACTGGTGAAATTTTAATTTTTGCCTTAACTTCCCCTTTAATGAATCTGTTCAGCCCAGCCATGTCAGGTTTAGGGTGTTTTAAAGTACAGCATTTTCTGGAGTAGAAGCCACACTACAGTTCATTCATAAAAAGATTGACTTCTAGCTTTTGGCCATAACTGGGTCAAATTGGGAGTTTTTCATACAATTATTTTCAGCAATCCCCTACGGATATGTGATAAAATCACGAAAAAATCGCCAAATTCGGGAGCTTGCTAGAGCCAGGACCCATTCTTTTATGAATGGACTATAGAGCACCAGCCGCACTGGAGTTTGAATTGCACTCAGAGTTTTGTCACCAAATATAGACATCTACCCTGTATTCCATGGTAAATTCAATCGTTGTACTAAAAGCCGCACTGACGTTTGTTTGGGTGAATTTACCAGCCGAGTCTCACCTCACGCGAACCGTGATTTTTTTAATACACCGGAAAATATGGTATCATAGTAATTTTTTTTGTTCTCCCCACAAACTTCATTTTTCTCTTTGATCTTTGTTTGCTTTTGCAGAGATCTGCTGAGAATCAAAGCTGTGTGATGTTCCCAGGCATGCTACCGTGCAGTGCAGTGCACGTCCAGCGAGGACAGTTTCACTACGCCTGCTCTACACAAGGGAAGTCCCTTCTGCATCGTCATGGTTGCTGCCAGGTCCCTGGATGTGCTGTGGGATGACTGGGCACAGGGCAGTCCTGTATTATTATTGCTTTCCGAAGTTGCAGTGATGCAGAGGAAGATCTCTGACCCCCCCCCCCCCCCTCACACACATCTTTTTAACAAACTCTGACACAGTCCAGTTTCTGCTCATAACGTTCATAAGCATTTTTAATGCTTAAAACGTAGCATTGATTAACATCAATGCTACGTTTGTACAATCATAGAGATAATTCTGGCAAGCCGAAGAACTTTGTCAGCTGATTGAGTGCTAAAAGTGGGCTACTGTCTACTGATGGTGTTTCATTCGGCAATTTATACAGCCAGTATTACAGCATGTTTGCAATGAGATAGTGATTCTTGAGCGATGATATCAGTAACTGAACTGGACCATCGCATCATGCTTCCACATTAGCGATATTTTTCTTCAGGTCTCGGCTTCATAGCTGGGACTATGGACGCACCAAAGGGAGATCGGGTAGGGTTGCAATGCTTGATCCGATGCATAGGTCGCACAGTACTTCCTGGCATGTTTGACAGTAATTGGTTATTGGCCTCCAGCAGTGCAGTGGACAAAAATAACTACTCTGATATTCTCTGATACCTGGCGACAGGGATTGAGGCTCTCCCTGGGTCTGCCCAGGCTTCTTGGCTTCTCCATCCACTGGAGCAGGCAACTTCACTGTCAGCTCTCGATGAACACGATCGAACATAGCATCATCGACCAGCAACTGGTCGTGTCCCCAGCCAGGCGGGGTACATGGTGTAACCTTGCAACACATGTGACACTTGATCCTGCCGTCGTCCTCAATTGCCAGCGGCAAACAGTCTCTGCAGATCTTGTGCGAACAGTCAAGTAGCTTACCGGGCCTAGTTTCGCCGTATGGGCAACGTGAGCAGGGCGGACGACTTACGGTTGGCTCATGTTGCAGCAAAGCACATGCAGGCAGGGACGCCATGTAGGCTGCTGCCACACGACCCACAGTCCCAGTAGCCGACGCAGTAGCTGCAACGAGTTTATCGCCTTCCTGGTTTGATGGAGATCGGCTAGTAGCGTCCATGATCAAGGCCTTTAGTTGATGATGAGCTACGATAGCACCCTAACTAACACTTCCCTTCCCTTCTAGTCGTAGCGGTAGAACTCTATTGCAAACACTGCAAGTAGCGCAACAACATTGACAGACAACAACTAACTTACTTTCTCATCTCCAAGAAAGTGATGTTGACTGAAATTTATCTTCCAAAGCAGAGCATTTTATTTGAGTACCGCTTGCTCATAGTCATACTCACGCTCATGACAAAAGTCATAGCTAGCTTCGTTGCCGGCGATGAGCCACTGTACGTAGTCGTTCCATTCTTGGCTATGCGCCGGCTATTACTCTACAATAGAGCACAATCAACCACTGTGTAGGCAAGCCAGATGCCCCGCGCGCGGCCCACCCACTCTCACATAGCCCGAGGTCGTGTCAGTATGTAACTGTTCGTCAGCTGCAGCTGAGGGAGAAGTTCAGGCTGGACCTAAGCCAAAAGACCTCTGCTGTTTTAATAATAATAATAGTACAGCACGCATATAGCTCATATGAAAAATCAAATGAGGGTCATGCATCTGTCGACAACGTCGAGCCAGTGCGTTCTGTCTGAGGCAAGTTGCTCCGCTTCCAAAAGAGACATATTGAGAAGTAAAAGGTCATTCCTAATGTTGTCTACCCATCTGGTCACTGGGCGACCTCTGGGCTTCTTTATATCTGTTATATTCATTGCCATGTGAAGGGCTTTGTAGGACACAGCGTCCTTCCCTTCACGAATGACATGTCCAAACCATAATAAGCGCCGGCGTCTACAGACTGCACTTATTGGGCATTGAGCAGTTTTAGCATAAAGAGCATTATTCGAAATTTTATTGGGAAAGATGATTCCAAGTATGTATCTGAGTTTACGGCGGTGCCATACATCAATTTTGCTTTCTAAGGCTTTTGTTAGAGTCCATAGCGCGCAGTTATATAGGAGAACTGGCAAAATGAGACAGTTGAACATGCTTAAGCGGGACTGCTGGGTATGGCGTTTCCATGATACACTGGAAAATGCCCGGTTCGCTGCTATGATACGTGCATCAATGTCCTCCGCTGACCCCAGACGAGAACCCAACAGTTTGACCGACCTCCAGGAGGAATCTGACTTTGTAGCTGTTACAAATTGTGTTTTGCTGATGTTTAGTTTTAAGTTGTCTTCTGCGAAGATGGGTTCGCATTTCTCTACGGTTGCTTCAACTGCTGTCCGGCTGTGGTCATGCACTGTTGTATCATCTGCATACAGGGTGAACTTAGTAGGTAGATTGACTTGTTCTGGGCAGGCTTCTCTGATCCTCTGCATTGCACCTTCTGCGTAGACAATATACATAAGGGGTGACAGGGGGTCCCCCTGCACCACTCCAACATTAGTTGGAAATGACTGACTGAGCTGCTTTCCCAGCTTCACGCAAGCAGAGGTTTCGGAGACTAGTTGCTGAATAGTGCTAACATGTGCACCTGCCGAAGCCAGACGGTCAACAGCAGTCTGCCTGATTATTGTATCAAATGCGCCACTGAAATCTAAAAGCGCCGCTGAGTAACTCCAGTCTCCTAGCAAGGCCCTCTCGCACATCATTCTTGTGAAGAATACTCCGTCCGCAGTTGACCGCCCAGGGCGGAAGCCAGCCTGGCTTTCAGGCACAAAGGAGTCCACGAATGTAGTGCAGCGCTGTGTGAGAATACGGGTCAGGACCTTTCTGATCACCGACAGAAGCATAACTGGTCGGTAACTTTTGGGGAAGCCGGGAGGCTTATTTGGCTTATATATGGGCACGATCAAACCGCGTCTGAGGTCTTCTGGACAATACTTTGCCAGTTGAACAGCGTTGAAGAATGTTGTTAACCAAGTGGTGATTGCATCTTTACCGGCCTGCAGCAAAACAGCGGAAACTCCATCCTGTCCAACAGCACCACCCGGTTTTTGCCGTGAGATTGCTGCTCGAACTTCTTCCTGAGTAAATGGCTCCTCATCAGGTGTTACCTCTCCATCTGCTGGGTGGTCGACTGCAGCAGGGACGTCATCGCGATGGAATACGGACAAGTAATACTTGCGGAATTCATCGAGATTCCATTGGACGTCCGCCATGATTTCACCATCTTTGTTTGCAAGTCTGACAGGTGGCTGGCTGACTGAGGAACGAAGTTGGCGGATGTTACGAATTGCATTGTAGTATGACCGTGCGTCGGGCCGTAATGCATCTGCTTCTGTTGCTTTCTCCTGCCAAAATTGGTCACCCTCCTTTCGTAATATTGATCGTATTTTATGCAGTATTTGATTGCGTTCTCTTGCTAGCTGTTGCCGTCTTTCAGGATCACGTTCCGCATCCTTCTCGATGTGAAGCTCTTTCTGCCGTTGCGACAGCGTAGACACTTCAGTACTCATGCTGCGGACCGACTTGTGTCCAACCTTTGCCCTCCCAAATGCACCTAGAGCTGCACCATGCACAACCGTCACAAAGCCATCCCACAGGTTATCAATAACTTGAGGCGATACTTGGGAGAGCTGGATCTCCGGAAGATTTTTAAGTAGTGCTGACTGATAGAGTTTCCTGGTTATCTCTGTAGGTTGGTTGTATTTGGAGAAGCATCGCTCCTTAGACTTTGGCGCAGGCTTCGCTGGTCCAAATGAGAGACGAAAGTCGGCAATTACCGGATGATGATCCGATCTGGTGCGGAATCCTCCATATGATCTTGCATTGGTCACTGATGTTAGTCCACCAGTCTTCACTGCGATGAAATCAATCATATTCCGCACCGCACGGCCGTCAGAGTATGTCAATCCATCTGCAAACCATGTGGAGCGATGCTGTAATTTGTGCTTGAACAGAGTGTTGCAAAGCACCAGCCCATGCTCACCACACAGGTCTAAGAGTCTATCACCATTGGCATTGTTAGATGTATGTTTGGAGTAAGAACCTACTGGGCCACTTCTCCCTCCGACCGAGCTTCCTACTTTGGCGTTAAAATCTCCAAGTATCCACAGTTCATCTCTCCGTTTCACTTGGCCTGCAATGGAACTCAGGACGGAGTAGAAGCTGTCAGCTTCAGCAGGATATTTTGTAGAGCGCTGCAGGGTTGGAGCATAGCAGCACACGACGGTAACTGTTCTGCTGTCCCTGCGCGGATTTATAGCGAGTCGGATCGAGATGATTCGTTCCGAGTAGAATTTGTACGAGACAATATTATTTTTTAGCCGTTTGTGGATAAGTATTCCAACACCGGCACGACCAGACGACCCTCCAGAGCGATACATGACATGTCCGTTGTCCATTGTGTCAACTCCATTTCCGTCAATCCAGGTCTCAGTCACTCCGAGCACGTCTAGGTCGTATTGTTCAAAGTCCTGAATAATAAGTTGTTTCTTTATTTTACTTCTCAACGAGCGAGCATTGAACGTTCCCGCTCGGCACCGGGGTTTGCCCGAGCCATGTCTCCTAAAAACAGAACAACATCCCTCATCTCTAGCGTCACCGCCGCTCATCAGGCTCAGCACATTGCTGGAAGAACGAGTACTCTCACAAGAGTGAGAGCTGACGGTAGTTCACTCCGCCATCAAACATTGGTACTATAATATTATTTTAAGTATTGGTTAAGTACTCGATACGATTACTAGTACTCCGGTATGTTGTTGGCTGACAGCATGTAGCATTGTGGAGAACAAAGTTTATTAATAGTAGCCGATATTATTGTAGTGCAGGTTGGGGTGCACAGGTGGGATTTCATGGAGCAGCACGATCTCATGCTATGGCAGTCATGAACTCAATAGACCATGATGTAGACTATGCTACGTAACTCGTTGACTTGTACATTGTGTACTTGTAGTTGTAGTACTGTCGTGGACATGGAAATCCGATCGATTGACCGGGGCCGGCGCCCTCAGCGCGTACAGAACATGTCAACAGCGCTTGATCCGATGCGATCAGCGGGCTGCAGCATGTGTGGACTGCTTACCCACGGCTGCATGGCCAGCGCTCTGGGACCGCTAGACGTGCGACCGGATTTCTATGTCCACGACAGTACATACCAGGGAGTAGTAAAGTACTACTCCCTGGTACATACGTCATACTTGTACGTAGATCTACCGCCTAGGGTACGAGCACCATTGGACTTAGCGTGAACGGTACAATGCTTCGAACCAGGGATAGGAGTCGTTATGCTCATTTCCCGAGCGATCATGGTGTGGCAAACATTACTGTAGCTTACCAGCCAACACAACGAGCATTTCGCTCGCGATCTCGACCGGCCTCTGCTTCGCAAAACTTTACCCGGGCTTACGTTCTCTTGTGCACTCTGCCCCTGGGCGACTCAGATCGTTTTA